TACTCAGTAGCCGAAAAGACGGTCCTGGCCGTGGTTTCAACTGTGCAGCGGCTAACACCCTACTTCCAAGCTCACCCGGTTCAGGTGCTCTCCCAACAACCCATAGGAGCGCTGCTCAGGAGCCCGAACGCGCCCTCGCGCATGTCCAAATGGGCGGTGTTCCTTGGAGCTTTCCAGATCGAATTCAAGCCAAGGCCAGCGATCAAGGGCCAAGCGCTAGCTGACTTCGTGGTGGAGTGCACCGCTCGGGAGGAGCCGAGCCTCGAAGAGCCGGAAGCCGACGACTGGTGGATAGTTTTTACCGACGGCTCCTCCGCCGCCAAAAACTCGGGGGGTGGAGTGGTAGTCATCGCGCCCGAAGGCTTCAGAGCGTATTACTCAATTCGATTCAGTTTCAAGGCATCAAATAATGAAGCGGAATATGAAGCGCTCTTGTGCGGGCTACGCCTAGCAGTCGGGATGAACGCAACAAAGCTAAGGGTAAAGTGTGATTCAAAGCTGGTGGTTGGCCACGTCTCGGGAGAGTTCGAGGCGAAGGACGAAAGAATGAAGAAGTACCGAGATACCGCTCTAGAGTTACTTAAGAGTTTCACCGCGTATAGTGTGGAGCAGATCCCTCGGGCGGAGAATGCCGAGGCGGATATCTTGTCGAAGCTGAGCTCGGACACGCCCGAGCACATCAGGCGGATGGCGAACGTGGAAGAGTTGTCCGAGCCGAGCATCCGTGCCTTCCACGTGGCGATGATCTGTGCTCGGCCAAGAGATTGGATGGACGACATAGTTGCTTTCTTGAAGGATGGCGCCCTCCCGGACGATGCAATAAAGGCCAAGTTGGTCCGGACAAGGGCACCTGGGTACACTTTGGAGGGCGAAAAGCTATACAAGCGAGCATACAACGGTACGCTGCTCAGGTGCCTCCGACCAGCTGAAGCGGAGCAGGTCATGGAGGAGGTGCACGCGGGGATCTGCTCCGCCCACCAAGGAGCCTACGCGGTGTCAAGGAAGATAACCCTCCAAGGATATTTTTGGCCAACAATTGTTAAGGATTGCGCGGAGTTTGTGAGAAAGTGCAAGGTGTGCCAAGAGTTCCAGAAGGTACCAGGGAGGCCTTCAACAAACTATACCCCCATCAGCACAGCTATCCCGTTCGCGTGGTGGGGGTGGACCTCGTGGGTGCGCTTCCTAGAGGTACCGGGAACGTGCGCTACGTCATTGTAGCCATTGACTACTTCACCAAGTGGGTGGAGGCGGCCCCATTGGCAAGCATTACTGGAGCTCAATGCCAGAAGTTTCTCGCAAAGCAAGTCATCTGCCGCTTCGGCGTTCCCGAGCACGTAATCACAGACAATGGAACACAATTCGAGTCCAAGCCCTTTAATGACTTTCTCGAGAGTTGGGGGATCAAGCACAGTTATGCGTCGGTTGGGTACCCGCAAACAAACGGGAAGGTCGAGAACGCCAACCGAACGATAGTCGATGGGCTGAAGCGAAAGTTGGAAGCTTGTGGAGGGGAGTGGGCAGAGGAGTTGCCCTATATCTTATGGACCTACCGGACCACGCCCCGAAGGGCAACTGGGGAAACTCCTTTCGCTCTATGCTACGGATTCGAGGCAAGGGCACCCACAGAGATCTCCATCGCAACCCACCGGGAAGAGGTCTTTGACCCCGAGCGCAATGAGGAAGCCCTGGCAGCCGAGCTCCACCTCGTACATGAAAA